AATACTTTATGTGGCTTTGGAAGGACTTTGCCAAGAGGCCAACTATAGTTTGACAATCATATGGAAAGCAAAATATAATGACCAGTCCTTGAAGAACCGCAGTAAATAAATGCTTTCCATGATTGAGTGCACGGAGGTAGGAGGGTGGGAGGATAACTTTCCTGCCATAATAATGAATTAAGACCCGGGGTGGGATACGACAGGGTTAACTACCGGTTCGGGATTTATGAGCTTCCCTGCACGCTGGAGCCGCACACCTGTAAATAGTCATCAGCATGCTGTGTGCAGAGAAGCAGCCTTTGAAACAGCCCTCTTTTTCCTGCTTTTTTAACTGCAGCTGTGCCTCGTTCGGCAGCTGAAGTTGAAAAATCAGGAAATAAAGATCAGGTAAGAGCCCGGGTGGGTGGGCGGACAAAAACATCAGCAGACATAGAACCGGTTCTATTCTGCTGCTCTTCAGAGCTACCGGTTCTACAGAGGTGGACAGAACTGGTAGAAACCCACCCCTGATTAAGACTACATGTGTATGACCTTCAGTGAATTTGTAGCACAGATTTCTATTGATTGCTATTCTTCTCCAGAATGCTTTTCAGTAATTCTATTTCTACCACTCTTTTCCTTCCTCTTCCTCTCTCACTTTCTGCCTATACCTTTTCTTCATCACCCCGACTTCATTTTGTCTTTTCACCCCTTTCTCCCTCCCTTGTACTACATCATCCAGAAATAATACATACATTCTTTTGATGCTTCAGGCTGAAATTTTTGCCTGCCACGCTTCTCCATGACAACCTGCAGGGAAGGCTAATTGATTTGGGGAAAGTGTGTGTTTCCTTCATACTGACGGAAAGGACTGACTGGAACATGCTAACCCTTACCATATTGTACTTACCAAGACTAACCGGCAATCAGTGTGGCTCTCAGCATATGGAATTGCTGGTGCCATTTCTCTGCACCCCTCCATTGTCGTCCCCCCTATTTCTTCCCATCATTTCCTCCCCTGTTGCTCACAATCACTCCTACAGAATTACAAAAAGGACAGAATCCAATGTATGTTCATAAAGGTTCAACTTTCTGCCTTTGTTTGCTCCTCTTCTGGTAGCTTTCTGGTTTTTCAGTTCCAGTGTATTTAATAGATTCAGTCTTCTTCCACAAGCTGAAGAACTCAGGGAAGGAAGCTGAAGGAATCGTGCCATTACTCCTCCTTCCTTGTTTACATCAGTATCACATTAAAATGCAGAGTATGGCGGGAAATTCTGATTTCCACTACAGCCTGCATATAGATTACCATTAGTTAAGGCATGTGCAGAAGTCTGTTTCTTTATGTGCACATATAGTGAGGTCCCAAGTACTTCCCAGCATGCAAATGTACAATGAAATTGATGCACGTACAAGTCCAACTTGATTCCTGCTCACGTGTTCTTTTCATGATGGCGTTTTTGCAACAAGTATAGCAGAGGTGGTATCCAGCAGGTTCTGACCAGTTCTGGAGAACCAGCAGGGGAAAGTTTGAGTAGTTCGGAGAACCAGCAAATGCCACCTCTGACTGGCCCTGCCCCCATCTATTCTCTGCCTCCTGAGTCCCAGCTGATCAGCTGGGTCCTCTTTTGTTGCCCTGCACAGGAGAACAGAGCTGGAAATCAGGTTAGTGGGATGGGGAGGGAATGGGATTTTGCAGTAACCTTCCCCTGCTACACCCACCAAGCCATGCCTACCAAGCCACGCCCACAGAACTGGTAGTAAAAAAAATTGAATCCCACCACTGAAGTATAGGGGATTTTTAAGCAGCTCAAATAGATGGAGATAAAGAAAGTTGTTTTAATTGCCCATCTGAAGCACTGTATCTTGTTGTCTAATTTAAGCTCAGTCTAATATAGCCAAGAGGGCCTCAGTTATGTTAGAAATATTCAATTTTTCATGTGTTCTCTAAGGCACATGAAGAAATCATGCTTGGCAAGCCTGTGCATTTGACACAGCTGGTCTATGATTATTGTTTGTGGGATTTCGTTTTCATTGGTACCTTAAGATGGATTCATTTGAAAGTTATAACAACTTTTATTTTCCAGAAACATATTTCTTTCCAGAAGGAAAGCTTGTAGGAGTAGATGCTTTTCAATACTATTTTTGTGTATTAGACCAGATTCAGCTCCCCAATAATAGAAATTGTTCATGCAGAAATCCTTAAGTCCTGTATGAAATCATGAAATTAAATTTAACACTGAAATTTAGAGATGTCCTCACGAAAGACTGCATTTATTGAATATAAGAGCTAGATTGCCATTTTCTTCACCACTACTCTGTAAATTGTATTTCAATAATTCTGCTTCTACACTGCCAACTCAAGACATATTTGCAAGACCAATGTTTCCATCCAAGTTCATCATAAAAGAATTGAATTCTGACCTGTAATTAACTTCACCTTTTCAACAAATGCAGAGAAGACCCTGAGAACATCATATGCCAATTTATGCTCACTCCCCAGCCAACCAAATAGGAAAGATCAAAGCATGTCATTCTATCATAGTTCGGCAATCACCCACTGTGAAATAATAAATACTACCAGTTCTCATATTCTCCATAGAAAAATGAAATAAAATGAATTGATAATGTCTCTTTCTTGTCCCTACATTTCAGAACTCATCTGGGCGGGGGGGGGGGTTGTATTTGCCTGGTGACTTGCAGGAAGATCTGCTGGGGAAAAAATGTCACCCAAAAAAGTGAAATTCTTGAGTTTTTCCACACCATTATTGAGGAGTTTTTCCACACCATTATTGCTGCCCATCTCCAAAAGAGAGCCAGTCTGGCGTAGTGGTTAAGGCACTAAGCTAGAAACTAGGAGACCATGGGTTCTAGTCCTTCTTTAGGCAGGAAGCCAGCTGGGTTATCATGAGTCAATGACTTATTGGAGAAAATGGCAAAGCATTTCTGAAAAACCTTGCAAAGAAAAATGCAGGGACTAGTTCAGGTAGTTGATAGGAATCAAACACTAACTTGAAGGCAACCATTATTAAATATATACAAACTAGATTCACACCAATCCTATAGTCCTCAGATTTCAAAGTCATTGGTCAGCTAGAGAGTACATTAATCAGTCAGATATAAAAATAAATTCAATCAGTGTTCCCTCTTCTTCTTGTCTATCATTTTGTTTGGTGCTTAAATTATCAGAGCTTTCACAATCAGGGTTGACTGCAAAATCGTCAAGGCACCACTCCACTAAAGTACAGTTCACCTGGTCAATTTATTAAAACAGCAGAAATGGTAGCATGGATGTAAGGCAACTAGACCTCTACTGGGAATTCTAAAACACTTTTAAAATATAACGAAAACAATATTTTCTCCATGTTCTAGCTCTCCCTCTTAAGGTTTTTCCAAAAAGGCTGTTGATGGTAGTATGAATGACAGCATGCCTCTGTATACATAGGTCATCATTTCTCAAAATGATGGTTGTGAGACAATTAATTAACAATTGTTCAAGAGTTCCTTCCAAACAAATGTTTCCAAACAGGCTTGCCAATTTGATGCAGAAGCATGCTGAATGCAAAGCATGGTGATAATTCTGGAACTTCGTATGATGAAGCTTCTATGTTCCTGCTGCATTCCTACTATGGTGTTTACCATTCAAAAGAAGAATAATTATGACGGGAGAGAATGAGGATTCTGCACAAAACTCTGATTTTCCCTCTTTAGGTGGAATGTACAATGGAGGGAAAGGGGGGAAGGTTGTGAGGGAGCAGAGAAGGAAGTTGCAGGAGTGGAGGAGGGATTTACAGACTGTAGGATTGAAGGGAGCCAGTAGTTGGGCTGTGGCCTTTACCTCAGTGGGACTGTGCTGAGAGACACAGGGTCAAAAGCCATTTACAACCTGCTGGGGGTTTTGCAAGCTGCAGTATTTTAAGAAGAGTTAAAGAGAATCCTACACAAGGCAAGGAAATGTTTTTTCTCTCCTCCGCCCACCTCCCATATCAAAGACATAATTCATCACAGTCTCTTAATCGTAAATAGATGAATTAATAAGGTTCGACCTCATCTATATATATAATACTATTTATATTGCGTTTTTAAAGTTTTGTTGATATTAACAATTCGATATTCCATATCTCTCTCCGGCTTTTCTATTCAATAGAAAACCCATATTTTTTCTCCACAGAGACCAATGTTCTGATTTTTCCCCTTTATGGAAAAAAAAGGTTTTGATAGCAGGTTTCAAACAGTTTTTTTATATGAATGCTTATTCACCTAATATGTGGGTTGAGATATTTTATCTATCTTTTTATTTGTTTTTCAAGTTTGTACCTTGTGTCATCCCCAGCAATGCCAGCCTATAGCAGTTGGACAATAATAAAACTATATCATATCACAATTAAAAATACCTTAAATATGGTTCAGCTTCTAAAATTAATTTTTCAAATTAGGTTTAAAGTAATCAAAGTGGGTAAATACTATAAGTTGTTAGTTTTAAAATACTTTTAATGGAACCCTTTAGCTACATTTTTTAAACCCAAGACAAAAAGTTTAATTCATATAAATCACAATGATATAACTTAGAGGCAGACCTTATGTAATTGGCACTAGTTTTATGATGAAGTCCAAGCAGTTTCAGTGCAGGTACAATTTGATTTGGATCTAATGCAGTAGAAACATGTGAAGCTGCCAGTTTATAGACTGTGCTGGAGATGAGCTGAAACAGGCCAGGCTTCCAGGTTTAGTGATAATGAGATTAAATTGAGCTATGAGTTAAAGGTGGAACTGTTAGATTGACTGAATAAACATTTTGACAAAATTGATTGCTTAGGCAGGCTTCTTCAACATGTGTCTGCTGGACTGCAATAATTATATTTTTCAGCTGATAAAAGTGTATTCAAGTTATAGTTCAGCACATCTGGATTACTTCAGCTAGAAGAAAAGTGGCTTTGGGCACTTGAGGAATCTGCTGTTTCTCAATCTGAAAGCTGCTGAAAATTGTCAAATGAATAAATCCTCAAAAGATACGCTGGTGTGAGCTTGCTGTACAAATAATGCTATGATATACACATATTGCTATATTTCATGTTTCTGGATGAATGCATGTTATGTGTTGTTAGTTTTAGTCTCCTTCTGCTTCCTGCAGGAATATCTCAATGTCCTGGGAAGGCCCATGGTCTTGGCCGGAAACAAAGCGAAGCAGGTTCAATGGACCAATGTCTATCAGGATGCTTTAGTAAGGAAAACAGCTTTATGAAATATCACAACTAGGTTTTTTTTCCAGTTCCATTTGCTTATGTGATTCATACATTGTAATATGGTTCAAATTGATAAATACATTTAGTGTTCCATATCCCTTTAGATTCTCAAACCTGTTAATCTTGAGTGGTTTCTTTTCCTCATTTTCTTCCCAAAGTCTAACTGCTCCACTCTTCAATTTTATGAGTTAGAGACAGGGATGGGATTCTACCAGTTCGCACCTATTCTGTAGAACCGGTTGTTAACATTCTAAGCAGTTCGGAGAACCGGTTGTTAGAAGAAATTACTGGCCTAATCCTGTAAGGAAGGCAGGAAGGAAACATTCTGGTGTTGCTTACAGAAACTGCCTCTCCGTTAACCCTTATTACATTCTTCGCATGACTGGACTTCCTGTCTCAGAAACTTTTCTGGAGTTTTTTTCCCCTCTTTTGCTGGTACTTTGCTTGTGTGGAGTGACCATTTAAAGTGACAATGGCACTGAAAAAAGTGGCTTATGACCATTTTTCACACTTACGACTGTTGCAGCATCCCTACAGTCATGAGAGGCGAGGCAAGGAGATGCGTGCCTCAATGTGAGTGATATTGAGTTGGCCACGCCCAGCCAATAACATGACCACCAAGCCACGTCCACCCAGCCACATGACCACCAAACCACACCCACCAACTAAGCCATGCCCACAGAACCGGTTGTTAAAAAATTTGAATCCCACCCCTGGTTAGAGATGCTGATAATTCTGATTTGGCCAGTTAGGGTCTTACAGATAATGCCATATTTTACTCTTCTTCTTGTTGTTGTTAACTTTTTAGGGCCTGGGTTTAGTGGTAACAGGCACTCTGCCTGTATTTAACCTCACTGATGATGGTCAGTCTCACGGGAGCAGTGAATGGAAGGTATGTTCCTATTTTGCAAGAAGCTGCCACCAAAATCATATTGGGTGGTTGCTGTTATGTCCTCATCCCCTTTGCTTTGTACAACTGCTCCATAGAGAATCCACAGTATTCCTTGATCTTTAGTCAAGTAGCATCCTCAACTGAAAATCATCTTTTCCTGAAATTGGTTCTAAATTGTTATCAGATCTTCTTGATGTGATGGATGGATGGACAGACAATGAATAAGATGCTAAATAGATACAACAGCCTTTCCCGATGGGGCGCCTACCAGATATAACTGAGAATTCTGGGGATCATCTGTACTATGATCCCCAGAATTCTGTTATATCTGGTAGGCAGATGGAGGGCACCAGGTTGGAGAAGTCTGGCATCCCATGGAAGAGAATCTTCTAAAACTATAGCAGTATTATAGAGAGCAAGTAATGATGTGTTAAAAATACACTTGGACCCAAATTAATTATGGGATATGTAAAACTAAGGCTTCATCAGGGATGGTCAACATGTGACTATGTTATCAGATGGCAATTCCTGTTTTTGTTTATCAATGTGTAAGACAAATAAGGCCCTTTCCTGAATATGAAGTCTATCCACTTGGTCCCTCATGCCCTGATCAGCTCTCATTTGGACTATTGCAACATGCTGTACATGGAGCTACCCTTGAAAAGTATCCAGAAGCTTCACCTATTACAAAATGCAGCCACATGGGCAATTTTAGTCATCTAAATTTTAGTCATCTAAAGAAGGACACATTTCAGTTTGCTTCTGGCTTCAGTTCAAAGTGTTGGTTATGAACTATAAAACCCTTCCTATCATTGGACCAGGCTACCTACAAAGCCATTTTTGCCCCATTGGCCCATCCCACCCAGTCAGGCAAGGAAGGTATGTTTTAGACACCATCAGTTAAAGAACTCCAATTGGCAGGCCTACGAAGAGAACCTTCCCTGCTGTTGCCCCCACCCTGTGGAATATTCTCCCCCCCCCCAAGATGAGATGGCCCCCATTCTCCTATTCTTCCCAAAATGAGTCAAAACCTGGCTCTGCGGCCTCTCATGGGGAGCCCAAAGGAGCATGCAATAATAACAAATAATATTATTGCTAATTATATTAATGCAGCATCAACAAATGCAGTGGCTATATATTCTATCACCTTGTACTGCAAGGCGAACAAGTGCCACTAAGTAGATCACACATTTCTTTTTCTCCCCAGTGGGTAGATTCACAGCATGTCTACAGCAATCTGTCTCATCTGCCTTATGCTCCTACATCTCTACTTGTTTAGATTTATTAGCAGCAATAGATCTGCCATGGGATTCTATGTCAGCTTGCTTTTAAGCAGGCAATGATCTGTTTCCCAACTAGGTAAGTGACAAGGCCAAAGACCAAGCCATTTATTCTCCAGGGAGCCTGGTTATGGCCTCATAAAGCAGCATGGCAGCTCCATTGAAATGAGCATCCCATGCTGCGCAATTTAGTCATTATACGGTGGCTTCTTACAGGTGTCTCTTTTAAGGGGGAAAAATGTGCTTTTCTTTAGAAGAACCCAATAAAGGCCGGCTATGCATTTTCATCAGTCATTGGAAAGAGCCTGGTTTCTCCAGTACTATGGTATGGCTGCCAGGATTAACATGTTTTATGCCATAACTCAGAAGACCTAAGTTCAAGATGTCCAGTCCTCTTGAAGCACGGTGCTGAGAATCAGATATTCCTTTTGAATTTGAGCTACAAACCGGGCCAAGCCTGGCTACTTATATCACTTAAAGGGCGAACAGTGCAAGTAAGAAATTCATTTCCAGGCTGCATTTTTCTCTGGCTCTGCCTTGCAAGCCTCTGATAGAATATTAATGAAGGATATTGATATTGGTAATTAGATATTTCCATCAACATTCATATAGGAAAGGACTGCAACAATCTTCCCCAGCTTTTTCAGGCATATAGTATTCCAGACCTCTTTCTTTTTTCCACAATGTAACCTTAAAAGAGAGGGAATAAAATATAAATGTATTTATAACTGCTGTAAACATTGGAATCCATTTCTTTATCTTATCTCTTTCTTTTCTATCTTTTCTTTTATTTCTGCCTTTACTTATCACTTTTCTTTCACCTCTTTTACTTTTCTTTTCTTTAAATTTATGTTGTTTCTATTCCGCAAAAAAATATTCACTAAAATTAATTTTTAAAAGGATCTATCACCTTCTTCACTTCATACACATAATGGAATTTTTAATTTTAATGTTTTAGTTTAGTATTGTATCAAGAATTTGAAATAACCAGCATACATAATAACAAGGGAAAGGTGCCAATCAACAGCTGATAATTCCATAATCAATTATTTTGAGAGCAGGATCTTCACTAGTATTGTTGGAAAAGTAAGCCAATTTATATACATAGTCCAAGAGAGATTTCATCCAGACTAGTGCAGAGCAACAGTAGTTGTGATAACTTAGCCATAACAACCATCCTATATTATTCTAAATGGAATGGAAAAGATGTAAACCAGGGGTCTTCAAACTTGACAGCTTTAAGACTTGTGGACTTCAACTCCCAGAATTCCTCCTCCAGTCATGTTAGCTGAGGAATTCTGGGAGTTGAAATCCACAAGTCTTAAACTAGCCGAGTTTGAAGACCCTTGATGTAAATCATAGAGCCAAAATGCACCACTTCTTCAGTTTGACCACAGCACAAAAGGCAATGAATTTCCTTATTTCTGTATGAAGCTGACCAAAAATATAGTACATCTGCACTTTGGAGAGGTGTGGGAGCAGGGAATGTTGCCACTAGCCTTCTTTTATTATTCTTTTACAATTTCCTTTCACCGCTTCATAGTGCTTTTACAGCCCTAAGTAGTTTACAGAATCAGCATATTGCCTTCCAAAATCTGGGCCCTCATTTTAGCGACCTTGGAAGGATGGAAGGCTGAGTCAACCTTGAGCTGGTCAAGATTGAACTCCTGGCTATGGGCAGAGTTAACCTGCAATACTGCTTTCTAACAACTGCACCACCATGACTCCTTACAACAAATACGAGAAAGCTCATTCATGGAGGTGCAGATATGGTTGATATATCCCAGGCTTCACTTTGGTGCTCTGTGTCCTCCAACTCTCTATTCAGCATTAAAACTGACAGGCACTCCTATTGTGATATTTTACACTTTCTCTTGCTATAAGAAGGGGTTTTGGAAATTTATTCTTTCACAGCTTACAGCTCACCTTGCATCCAGCCCCCTTCAGGAAATTAACACATCTTCTCCCAAATATTAGAGAAAAATTCATCTTGTGAAAACATGTTGATCTTTCCATTCATTTCTCATGTATAATTACATACTGTCTACCTATCATTTTTGAACAGTTCAATTGTAAAATGTAAAAGTATATGAGCTCTATACTAACTAAATCAATAAATTCTGTGGAGGAAGTAGGCATGGCATACTCTATCCTCTTTCTCCAAATCAGTGACCTCCAGGTAAATTAAAACTGCTGGAATTCCCTGTCAGGACTGCTCAAAGAGTGGTGAGGGTTACCTTGGACATAAACAGTAGAAATCAATAGAGTCTACATCCCGACTTGCCCAATTTCAAATAACAGAATAATGAATGATGTAATGAATGAAACTGTCATTGTTATTTATATATTTTCAGAACCAGCTCATCCTGGGTGTTGTGGGGATTGATGTGGCTCTAAATGATATCAAGAAGCTGACACCACGATACAATGTGAGTAGGGAAGATGTTGTCTCCCTCAAACTCTGTTATTTAAAAAAGCAAGCGGGATAGGAAGAGAGGTGTTAGTTTTCCTAGGAGTGCCCTCCTTAAATTCTCTACTTTACCCCCAAACCACCTTTCATCTTTTTGAGGATGATCACTGAGGCAAACTGAAATCTTCTCCTTTAATTTAGAAAATGTGATGGACCTTTATTCTCTGCTAGGGTTGGGTATTGGACAAGCAGGAGGTGGGTGACACAGTATCATGGTAAAGGAGCTTTGATGCAACTCCATTCTGTCTTTTTGAGATGTAATCTGTTTCTCTTCAGGAGGATTTTCCTTTGTTTTTTGTCTTTCCATCCAGTTGGGGGCTAATGGCTATGTATTTGCTATTGACTTGAATGGATATGTATTGCTACATCCAAACCTGCGACCTCTGGTAAGGACAAGTTTGTGCATACTGAATGCATATTCAAAATCATTGCAAAACAAAATTGTAGTCGTTTACTCCATCGTGTTAGCAGCAACCATAAAATAGACAATTTTTGCTCTTTCTCCATTTTTTTTATCATGATGAGCTCTTCCATTTTTTCCCCCCAAACTGACTACAATAAGTTTGTCCTCTTTCATTTTTCCTGGAAAGATATTCTTGCTATTATGTGGATACTGAATATGTCTGTCCAAAGGTGAGTATCTCATACTGCCTGAATAGGAATTAATGAGTTGGGTGGAAATGTTAATGGTGGCAATTTGCCATTAGACTGAAAGCGTATGCAAACAGCTGTCACAATCAAGGGCACCACTCACACTTTAGCCACCTCCGAGTCACAGATTGATCACCATATGCCACCATCTGGCCAGAAAGTGAGCTTGACAATTGAAAATATCAGTATTCCAGTTCTGTAGGATGTATAGTTGCATATACTTATTATTGACTAATAATCAAAGCTTGGCACATATATTATATGTGGAATAAATTCTATTGCCCGAAACTTTTTAATGAATTAAGCATCATATTCTTTCCCTTCGCTGTGACTTTGTGAACTCTCTCTTCATCCCTTCTTTTTCTTTCATTTTTTTGCTCCTTTGATGTTCATTCCTTTACATTCCTAGATCCTTGGGTTTCAACTTCCTGCAGGACTTTTTTTTCTCTAATCTAGTCAGGTGTGAAGCTTTTCTTCCAGAAAATTCATCTTTCCCTATGTCCACAATAGTAGAACAGACTTGCAAAGCCTTTCTCTAACCAGAGACGGCCAACAAAACACTTTTATTTGGTTGTATTTGCAACCATTGGGAGGTTTTCATGCAACCTTGAAATCCACATATCATTGTCACCAAATCTGACAGCACAGTTTACTGCAAAAATTTAAAAAAGAAACAGTGGTGAATTTTTGCTTTTCACACTTTAAATCCTTTTACGAGGCTTAACAGTTTCAGCACTTTAAAGTTTGTCAGCTTTCTTGGTTTATTGCTTAGCTACTTTCAAGGTGGGGGCTGGTTAGAGGGATATAGTTGTATTTAAAATATTTGCTTTGGCTCTTTTGATTTAGCTGTGTTCTTCTTGGGAGCCTCGCCCAATCATTTTGGCATAGCCCCCTGCATAAAGACAAAGTATAGTGTCATTGACTCAAAAAAAGATTTAACTATTACATGCATTATAATGTCTATGAGCGTAATAACTGGTGAGAGATTTTCAATGTTTACATTAGATTTGCAGCCAAATATTTAACTAATTACATTAACATCAAAATATATAATTTATCCTTTTAAAAAAGTGGGATTTTGAGGCTATAATCTTATGGATACTTCCCAGGGACTGAGCTCAGTTTGGCTCTGCTGGATTAAATGTGAAGATATACATAAGATTGCATGATGATAGTATTTCCCTCAGCTAGTTGTCCCCTGAACACATTTGCTCATGGGTGTCAAATACAAGGTAGCCACCACAGCGTATGCTAAATATGGCAAATCTTGAAGGAGTAGTTACATGTTGCAGGTAAACACACAGAGAGGACCTGCTTAATTTCCTCAGCAACAAAGTGAGAAAAGATAGCCAATTTGAGAATATACATAAGACAAAAAACAGCACAATATCTGCTTATCAACTAAGCCATAGCAGAATTATGTTGTTTAACTGGATTAGAAAACATAGAAGCCATCTCTGATTATGGAATCTTTGGTTCAAGTTCCATAATATGAATTTAATGTATAAATGACAAGAGCTACTGAACCTTCAATTAGTCATTCCTTTTGTCTTTATAGACATGGTTGTTCTAACTTAGTGGCATTGATGATGACTAAGGATGTTGGGCAGTGGGAAATTCAGATATTTGGGATTTAAATAATTGTTATGGCTGTAGGGTAGGATTTATTTACTGTGGGCAAAAATGCTCATTGCTTAAAGTGGAAGAGAAAATATGTTTCTGAGAGTCACAAAGCACCTATTGACTCATCTTGACAATATAATATATGTATTTCTCTTTCTTTCTTAGCAAGTATAGGAAAGAATTAACTAAACCTCCTTAATGAGATATTACTTGTTCAGGGGTATTAACCAAAAGAAAAGGAGTGGATGAAAGCCTTGGGCTTATTTATCTCAGGAGAAGTTCTGCATTCATCAGAATGGAGCAAAAAGAACAGGCTTCTAGCTCAAATACTAGTCAGATAAATCTGTCATTGAAAGGGCAGCCAGAAATTAAGGAATTGGAAAATGGCATTGATCAGAATGAGATACATTTCATTTGCAGAAATTTCCAGCTCAGTTTATCAGCCTTACTAATAGGCAGATGTGGCAGAGATGGACAGAAACCATAACAATTTATTTAGTCACTTCACTGTGACTCTGATCAATAACAGTTCAAATTACTCAGCATGGTAAAATCACCCAATGAACAGCCCAATTCCTTATGTTTTTTGTGTATGTGGGTGTCTGGTTTAAATCCAAACAGCTTTTAATAGAAACGCCTTGTTTTAAGTAGTATCTTATTCTTTCAACTCGAGATAGAAGACATTATTTTGGCATATGAGTAGAATATATCTTTCCAGACAGTTGAGAATTTAACTAGTTTTGAGTGCTCCCAAATAACAATGACAAGCTCTTATTTTATTAATTAATTAATTAATTGATCCAATGGCATTCAGACTTACACTTGATGGTGTAGACAGATTGAAAAGTGACTAGTAAAATTTTATCCTGGTAAATAATGTGGTAGAACTCTATCCTAATATCCACTGTTGATGTCCTGTTTCATTTTTGCATTATTCCTACTTAGAAATCAGATTAGAATCAGAATATTTGGTACACTGAAACTTGGTTTGGAGCTTTCAAAGCAATAAAAGCAGTTTTTTCTTTGACATCTTGGTATTAAGTGCTATGTTAATATCTTTAATTCTTTTTGACAATTTTTTTGTTATCTCTGTTCACTGATCATTTTCATTTATTCTAGGGCGTTTTACTTCCACCACATATCACATCTAACACACTCCACAACTTTCAATTCCAATTTGTATATAAGATTCTATAAATCAATCTGTTCACTTTATCATATGCTTTTTATAAATCAATAAAAGTATAATATAATGTCTCATATAATTCATGCATTTCTTAGTGACCTGCTGAAGAGTCAAATTGGTTCCTTTATCTTACCTATATTGTTGATATATTGTTTTAAAGTAAGGATACCTTGCCTTGTCTCTGAATCAATTTGAAGTGTCTTACAGAAAAATAATTAATTTTACAACTAAAGCATTCTTTCCAGTTACAGTTCCCCCTACATCTAACCCTGAGATTCTTGTGTGTATATGGAAAAGTTATATTTACTCCCTACATATGCACTTTGTAGAAAATGTTTCAGTTGTGAATTGTCAACGCCTCTCATTACTGAACATCATAATTTATAACAGCATTTGTACTATGTATACTCTAGGCCTGCCTTAGGCATGAAATTAGCTGAGTAATCTTGGGCCAGTCACTCTCTCAGCCCTAGGAAGGGGGCAATGGCAATCCACTGTTGAAAAACCTTGCCAAAAAACCTGCAGGGACTTATTCTGGCAGTCGCTAAGAGTCAACTTTGCATAGTGAGATGGGTGGCATATAAATTTAATAAATAAACAAACACTGACTTGACGGCAAAAATCTGTCAAGGCATAGAACAAGGATTGTTATGACACTCTGAAGATGAACAGGATGATAGTCTTGAATTCTCATCTCATTCATACTACCCATTACTTACTACTTTGGGGTTATTCTTTCAGATCATCAATTTTCAAGAAGCTGTAACCCTGGATTTCCTTGATGCTGAACTAGAGGATGAGAACAAAGAAAGGGTAAGCGATAACGATAGATCAACTCTGCTTTATCTGAGGCAAATGCATACCCACAATAATTATATATTTATATATCATATGTATTAACATTTATATAATCTTTCTATCAAAGTAGCCTAAAACAACCCAAAAAACAAAATTATAAGTGCTCCAAAAACTATAAAAAATTACTTTTTAAAAAATGAAAAAAGATTCTTAATGGCGTTTGTAGCAATTTTTTCTCAATGCAGAATAGTAAGATTCTACAATTTTTACTTTTACAAATCTGGGCATGAGATTTTTCCTTTGGCAAACTTAGTGCTAGGATTTTTGTAGTGCTGGTGATGGCAACTTGGAATAATTTCTTCATGTATACAGGAAGTCCTCGACTTACAACAGTTCATTTAGTGACCATTCAAAATTACAACGGCACTTAAAAGAGTGACTTATGACCGTTTTTCCCCTTACTGTTGCAGCATCCCCATGGCCACGTGATCAAAATGCAGACACTTGGATACTGACTCATATTTATGATGGTTTCAGTGTCCCAGGGTCATGTGATCAGATTATTCAACCTTCTGACAAGTGGAGTCAATGGGAAAGTCAGATTCACTTAACAACCATGTTACTAGTTTAACAACTACAGTGATTCATTTAACAATCATGGCAAGAAAGTTTGTAAAATGGGGCCAAATTCACTTAAGAAATGTTTCCCTTAGCAACAGAAATGTTGGGCTCAATTGAGGTCATAAGTCAAAGATTACCTGTACTTGCATAACTATTTCTTATATTTCTATATAGTAAATTGCGTATGGGTGTGTATGTGCATTTATACCATAGTATGAATCATGCACAAATGCAAATCCTATCCTTTTAAGAGATTTTTTTGGGATTTGAACAGAAGAGTTTAAAAAAGGTAAGTGCTACCCCTGATATGTATCCCGACCCAACTTCACAGCATTTTCTGTTCTCCCATCTTTAGATTCGCCGAAGCATGATAGATGGAAATAAAGATCAACAATATATTAAGACTCTGATAAAATCCCTTGATGAGGTAAATATTTGAGTCTGAGCTGCCAGATTTCAAAAAGAGTGGTCCTTTATTGGAACATACCAGGAGCTGGGAACCAGGGGTATAAAAACTTTGTCATGAAAATACATGAAAATGCCTTCCGTGGAATTAAATCATTATTTCATTTGGCCATGTCTCTTAAGACCTGCTTTGTTCCCACACCTGGTGTTAAGGTATCTGTGGAGACCCTGTTGAGTCTTTTATGAATATTGGGAGTTCTGTTTTAGTCTGGATAGTCATCAGTTTTTTTAACTTATGTATTACACATGTTGTAAACTTCGCAGAGTCTTTCTAGATTTGGCCAGTTGTAACATTAAAATGCATTGTAAGTAGGACCAGCTCAAAAGACTTTGAGCTCTTCAATACAACAACTAGATTAGTAGTTGAGATTGGTTAGATTAACTGGAATATATGCTTCACTAGTTATTTAACTTTATTGTGATATACATTGGTTTATTGACCATCTTTATTTGATAAAGAATGAAATGTGGCCAAAAATCTTTGAAATTAGCTAATGTTCTTCATAAATGTAATGAATAATATTTAGTCACTCATTCGTTTTGAATCTACAGAGGTATGTTGATAAAGTTCATAGAACCTACACTTGGGCACCTATCAAAAGCACAAACTACAGGTAAGGAAGTAGCCAGGAAAAACACTACTCCATCAGTGATGGTTAAAAGAATATTAGGAAAAATACTCCTAAGAGAGTTTTTTAGAAGATAATGCAATTCTGTTGATTGAGAAAAGACACCAGAAATTCAATTTCTATTTCTCTCTCTATTTCTTTCTTTTTCTCCCTCCCTCTCTCTCTCTGTCTCTCTGTCTGTCTGTCCCCCCCTCTCTCTCTCTCCTGTGTTCTTCATAATTTTATCTAATTTTTCAAAGGTTTACTGATTGGCCATAATGTCTTGATTTAAACAGATAACTTTTTAGCAGGTGGCAGCATTTAGCCAGTCTTCGTTAGTTTGGAAAACTAAATATGGCTGGTTCTGGTGAGTACTTGGGAGGTGATCCCCTTAGGAAACCAGTATATAAGCAGAAGAAAACAATTGTAAACTATATTTTCCTAAAGAAAACTGCGCAGAGATGTCCATATAAGTCATCGGAAGTCGGTCTAAATTGAAATCAACTGTACTAAGGTTGATAGCCAATATTTGCCAAAGTGATTGTAACATAATGGCTTGATCTTTTAAGTTATTTTGAAATGCTATATTTTTCACTGAACAATAGGTTTAGAATTCAGTAGTAGTCTGTTAAAGTATTTTTGACATCATTCCTTTGAAAAGGAATGGTTGGGTCGAACACACCACACTAGGAACAATTCTGGACTGGTACAACAACTAGTCAGCATCAAACAGTGTAACAAATGTGGTCTTTGGTAGTTATTGAGTAAGTGCTTAGGTTGAAGGGAGAGCTGACCTTTGACATTTTTTGACACTTCTGCTCTAGAGATTATGGTATCATTCAGCTATCGCTGTGGAAATAAAAAGCCTGTCTTCTTTAATGCTATGTCAGCACAGCCATCGCTGGTTGATGCCACAAATGGCTAATGCTGAAAATATACAGTGCCAGATGTTCTTTGTGGATCTATTCATTTATATTATTATCTGTACCCTTAGGTCTTGAAAATAAAATCTGGAAGAAGCGTCCATTGATTTTTTTTCTAAAAAAAAAAAGCACAACACTTTTCCAATGTATATATCTTCTCACTGTAATGTAATAAGAGGGAGCTGCCTATTATAATATCAAGATTATGTTTGCAGTCTGCTACTAGAATCTCTTTAAGTAAGACTGCCATCTAGTGTATTGTTGTTTATTGCAAATATACATACGCCTCTGAAATTTTCTAGGAAAACCAATTTATCACTTGATAGCTCAACAAATACCCAGTTATTTCTAATCCAGCTATCTGAGAACCATGCATAGAATAAGAAAAACTTTATGTCTGCCATGAATTTGTGTTTATTTGGATGAATTCTTGACATGAAATGGCAAACTGACTCTCCTGGGAAAGACATTATAAGCATAACTTCCTCAAATCTTCACTTCTAATTCTACTTCCAACAAGGGTCCTTTAAAGATACTGGTTTTGTTTTTACCTGTATTTCATTCCTGAAAAAGACAGGGCATTCTGAAATTCACTCTTGTATAACATCAGGTCATTAAACATTCCTTGGACAATTTGCAACATCCAACACTTTCATTCAAGTCTTAAGGCAGGTGTCCCCAATTCTGTTCCTTCCAGATATATTAGTCTTCAAATCTGAAAGTCAAATCTAAGCCAATTTGTTGCCTTAAATCTTCAATTACTGTCTTCTTTTCAGACTCTTTTCATCACCAATGCAGCTGCTTTGGTAACACTGTAATTTCCCTCTTTTCCTTTTCCAGCTTAGGTCTGGTCTTACCGAATTACAGCAGATCTTACATCCAAGCTAATCTAAGTGACCAGATTCTCCAGGTGAAGTGTAAGTATATGTTTTTTCTTTTCCTCCTGTCCTTTCACATGCCCTTTGACCCTAAACCCACCAGCTAGCTTAAGGATGATTTACAAGAGAAAGCAAAATGCCTAAATGTTAACACTTTTAAAAATGTATCCAATTAAAAACAAATTCCTACCCAGAGAAGAAAAGAAAGTTTCATTTTATTTATGAAAGAATAATGCAGGCTTCCCAGAGATGAAAAGATTTACCAGATCCCTTGCAATGAACTTTTAAAAACATCCAGGGGAGATGAGGTTGAGTTGTTGCTTTATATGCTTTTTATGTGGTAGATTATAATAGCAGCTGGTTAATTTGAAAACTGGGAAATTTTGCATGTTTCTTTCTGTTTTGTTTAAATTTGTTTTAAGCCATCCTTATTTTTATTTAAAGTTTGAATTTCTTTGCTTGTTTTCTCACTAATTTACAATTAATCTCTGTACTTGTGTGTTTGCTTCCCCTTGTGTGTGATCCTGGGCTCTGCCCTCTCATCAAAGGGTGTGAGGAGCTTCCAATGGAGTTTTTAACATCCTGTTCTGAGTGATTCTGCCTTTTTCTATCTGTGTCTGTCCCTGTGTCTCTGTAATTCCTCTTCTTTCTCATCTATCTCTCTCCCTTCTCCCACCTTTTGTACTCCATACTCATGCTATGTTACTTAAAATTTCCACCTTCAGGGAGGTTTAAAGGGATGTTATTCCTTAGAATGCGTGCTGAAGTACAACATATTGAAGATTCGCTTATGCAAATAGGTTCCAAAATACTGTACAAGTAGTCCTTGACTTACAACCACAATTGGGAGTAGAATTTCCATTTCCATTTGGTAAGTGAGTCATGTCCAATTTTATGATCCTTTTTTGCCATGATTGTTAAAGCAAAACATTGCAGTTATGAAGTGAATCACGAAGTGATTAAGTAAATCCGGCTTCCCCCATTGACTTTACTTGATGGAAGTTAGCGTGAAGATAGCAAATGGCAACTACATGACGCCAGGATGTTGCAACCGTTGTAAGTACATGCTGATTGCCAAGCATCCAAATTTTGATCACATGATTGTAGGGATGCTGTATTGGTTATAAGTGTATGAAGACCAACCAGAAATCACTTTTTAAATGCCATTGTAACTTCAGTCACTAAACAAATGGTTGTAAGTTAAGGACTACCTGTGTATAGGCTGTTCTGACCAAGACTGGATAGAACTATCAATCACAGAACTGTCTTGCTCCTAAATGGACTGATCCAGCCCTGGAACACATCATTCCAAGTGCTCTGGACATAGTATATAATATTAATCAGGACCACACCATGTGTTTCTTGAAATAGTTAAAAAAATGGATGGTTTTGCATATCTCTAGTCTGGACGCTGCCCCAACTTGCTGACTTTTAGTTAAATTAATTTTAACCCCAGTTGCAGTCCTATTCCAATTTACTTGGGAATATAGAAAATCCTTTCAATAAGAATTTCTTTAGAAAAAACTATGACACTAAGAAAAAATAATGTGAATCATCTTTCTCCTGCTATTTAAGCTAACACTTCTCTATGCAAAGAAAAAATAAAGGTCATTTAGTTTTAAGTTGGGCTGCTTAAGGGGCTCCTACAAAGACAAGGGGGTCAAACTATTTTCTAAAGCACTAAAAGGCAGGACAAGAAACAATGATTGGAAATTAACCAAGGAGAGAAGAAATCTAGAACTAACGAGAAATTTCCTAATGGTGAGAACAATCAACCAATGGAAGAGCTTGCCTTCAGAAGTTGTGGGTACTCCCTCACTGGAGGCTTTCAAAAAGAGACTGGACCACCATTTGTCTGAAGTGGTATAGGGTCTCCTGATCGAGCAGGGGATTGGACTAGAAGACCTCCAAGGTCCCTTCCAACTCTATTGTTTTATGTTCTATGCTTCCAATGTTTTGTAGGAGCATTTGGTGCAGTATTCACAAATGACTGCTTTGAAAAAAAAATTGCCATCCCATACCTTCTAGGTGAAAAGTTATGTTATAAAAAAGAATTATAGCAAAGCCTCTTCCCTAGCATGGAAACTTTGTACAAGGGAAGTGTCTTCAAATAGACAACTCTCTGGTATAAACTGATAGGAGCTTTTGGAAGGATTATAGCAGCAAATGTAAATAAGAATCAGATGAGGTCTCAGGTCCCATCTCAAGCCAAGAGATGATACTTTCCAAAGAGCATTTACTGGGAACAAGCATCTCTCTTTAACACCTAGGACAGAGTTGCTCTGTGCTCTTAAAGGATCCTGCTCTGGTGTAATGTTATATAGGAATGGCCTTGGGAGACAGAAGAGATGTCGTTCCACCCGCACCCACCCCCAGTCAGATAAGGGTCAGATAAGAGAAATCATAGCTGATAGCTGCTTATTGAGTGGAGAACGAGGTGGAGAATGAGGCTCAGAAAGGACCCACCTCTAAGTTCTCAGGCTACAAAGGAAGCTTGCGAGATTGAAGTCAGCCCTCCCAAGTAGAACATTCAGAAACATGGCCAGAGGAGTTAACTGTACTTTATTGTAAGATTAGATCAACAGGATCTTGCAAGTCTAAAAGTACAAATCTTCCATCATCTCCTTCACAACCTGAAAGCTTGGAGAGACGTTCCTTCTGAGCCTTCCATTATCTGACTCCTAGTTGACTCTTACCTTCCTCTTATCTGACAGCTCCCATCTTCGCCCTGTCTCCCAACATTGTTCCCAAATACCATTACATCTGCTGGCCACCTCTGCCTTTGTATGTTTTCTCTCTCTCTCTCAAAGGAGACCTTAGGTTGCTACACATTATACAGCTAGTCCGCGACTTACTATCACAACTGAGCCCAACGTTTCCATTGCTAAGCAAGACGTTAAGTGAGTTTTGCCCCATTGTACGGCCTTTCTTGATGCAGTTGTTAAGTGTTAAGTGAATCACTGCAGCTGTTAAGTTAGAAACAGGGCTATTAAGTGACTCTGGCTTCCCCGATTGCTTATCAGAAGCTCTCACCTGATCACCTGATCCCAGGACATTGCAATCTTCATCAAAATGAACCAGTTGCCCAAATGGCTGGATTTTGATCACGTGATCATGGAGATGCCGCGATGACCATAAGTGTAAAATACGGTCATAAGTCACTTATTTCAGTGCCATTGTAACTTCAAAGAGTCACTAAACAAGTGGTTGTAAGTCGAGGACTACCTGTAGTTGACATTACCACTTGGTTACTTGGTTTTGCTAAGTAGCACCATATCAGGCTCTGGCTTTCAAGTTTCTGAAACCAACAAATTAGTAGTTAAAATTCAATCATGAAATTAGAGGAAGAGTTTTCTAATTACCCTCACCAGACTAGGTTGGCAGGATTTATGCTTTCTAGGTTTATTTACCAATTAGCAATAGCAATAGCACTTAGACTTATATACTGCTTCACAGTGCTTTACAGCCCTCTCTAAGCAGCTTACAGGGTCAGCATATTTCCCCCCAACAATCTGGATCCTCATTTTACCGACATCAGAAGGATGGAAGGTTGACTCAATCTGGAGCCGGTGAGACTCAAAATGCCGAACTGCTGGTAGCCAGCAGTCACAGAAGTAGCTTGTAGTACTGCATTCTAACTACAGCATCACCACGGCTCTTCATTAAAAACCAACCTGAAATAATACAACCTGGATTTGGTCCTCAATCTCCCTGATTCTAACTGTAGCTACCTTATTTAGTGTCCACCTAACTTAATATTGTCATTGTAGTGCCTGGCAAAAGCTCTGCCAAATTTCAGGCAGAAGCCATTTCCAGTCCTGTCTGAAAATTGTACCTAGTGTCTTTTGCACATGCGCAAGTATGTGCTTTCTGCTGTAAAGCTCCAAGCTCTCTCCTAAATGTCACTTTAATGCATAGATCTTTCTCTTCAACAATTTCTGTCACCGTTGGGACTATGTTCTCTCATCAGGAAATTACATGTGTTGTTCGGGCAGGTTTTTTTTGTTTTTTTAAAATTGGTCATGTTTCATAAACTATGTAATTTCCCCTGTGCACTATAATGTCAGGCATGGTAAAGACTTCGAGCTTCCTTTGCAGAATAATAACATAAATATAATATAATAAAAGAAAATAATTGCTTTAAAAAGAAAAGAAAGCTTTTCTGCCGCGTAGGGTTGATTCCAAGCTCCTGTCCTATTTTTGCCTTTCACTGAGAATGGCCACAGCTTACCCTTTTGCCAGATGAGCTCAGGCCTGGTCCACTGCCCTGAATTTCTCTCCCTTCGTTTCCTCTCCTTCTGTCTCAATCTCTGTGTGTGTCTTTTGTTAATCTTGAATTTTGCATGGTCTGCTAACTCAGTAAGAACATTTCTAAATCAAGACTGTTGCAAACTGTTTGCTACTGAATTCCATTTTTATGTTGGTTATATAATATATATCTATAGATCGAGTTATATCTATACATTTTTTATTATTTTCTTACTGTGGCCTTTTGATTGGTACTTTTATTACTATTATTATTATTATTATTATTATTTTGGCTTATTTCTTTTTCATGTCGTTTTTTGCAAGAGGTTTCCTTTTGGTATGATTATGATACACAATATTTTTATTCAAACAGCAATTGAATAAAATATTGTTTGTACCCCCTTCCCCCTTTCCACCCAACCCCCTTTTTTGTTTTCTGTTTTTTGTTTGTTTTTCTTGCTTTCTCTCTCTGATGGATTCACACAGTACCAAGCAAATTGAAGGGCAAGTATTTTCAGTCTTAGACCACTCCCCTTCCACCACCCCCTTTTCCTCACCTGTCTCCAATAACCCCCACCCTCACTCCAGACCTTCACCACTCTCCCTTACCACCACCACCTGGCCTGCTTGCCCATTTCCTTGCCCGTTTGCCACGCCTAACCTTGCGAATCACCACCAAACTTCCCCTCTCCTTTCCCCTCCTGCCCCCTCCCCTTATCCTCTTTCACTCTTTATTTGGAAGCAACATGTCTTGTTATGTTCATAATAGCTTCACCACTACTGATCTCCCC